AGGCTTATTTACTAGTCCACTTGGAATCTCATGCACTTCTGCGTGGAAACCAATCAGGTTCCAGGTTTTATTTCTAAAGCTTAATTGAACAAGCTGAGGTTAGAAGCTGATTGGCTACCATGCACAGCTGCACCAGATTCTGAGTGAACCAGCTTTAGTAAATCTCCTGTGCTCTGAGTGGGCGGCACACTCGATTGAGCCATCCATTGAGAGTGCTGTGCCGCAAATACCTCAAATGCGTGGGAGTGATGTCATTGCGGTTCAGCTAATCAAACGACCTGCAGCTTGCAAACCCAGAAGGGGACTGGGTGAAGATGGAAACTCTGTCAGCTGTGACAGTGCGCTGCTGGAGGGATCCATTTTGAAGGTATGTCTATCATAGGGATTGATTTACTAAAACTGGAGCATGCAGAATCTGGTGCAGTTCTGCATAGAAACCAATCAACTTCCAGGTTTTATTGTCAAAGCCTAATTGAACAAGCTGGAGATAGAAGCTGATTGGCTACCATACACAGCTGCACCAGATTCTGAGTGGTCCAGTTTTAGTAAATCTCTCCCATAATGTGCTAGTATGCTGTCCATACTAGCACATTATGAGGTTAACCTGCAGGGGGACCAGTTTTTTTTACAGTTTACTACCACTTTAAAAAAAAAACAGCTAAAAAAACAATTAATACTTCTGTAATCAAATGTGATTATAATACACACACAATACAAATTATATCTTAGAGGAATTTCTGTATGGAAATGTCAGAAGTGAAATCAAAAAACAATTTAGTCTAAATGTAAACTTAGAATGGTACACAGCTGTAGTATTTATCATATTGACATTATTTTAAATATTTTCCCAGACAGTTCACACAGAAGTCATATATTTTATTTCCTATCCAACATTATATATTGGATACAAGTGACAGCAATTTCTACATTGCCATTTTCTTTCAAATATTGAATTGAGGAATGAATCTTTTGATTTTCTGGTACATCTACCTTTTGATAGCTCCAGACTTAAAATGGTCCTAAATGTAATCATTTACATTGTTGCAAACATTTGAATATGCTTTTCGGTACTTTTTCTGTTCTAGACAGGTGCATCCAGGAGTGAATTTCAAGGGGGTCATTCTGTCTGTCACACAAATACCAGTTTATAAAATGGAGAAAAGACCATTGAAAATTGGATTTTAGAGATAAATTATTTATGAAAAGGTCTATTACCAGGAATTCATTCCCTGCATCTGCTGTGAAAGACAGTTATTTGACCTGATGTACATTGCCAGACTTATAATGGGGCAAAGAGGACCTTTGCCTCAAGCACACTGCTGGAAGGGGCCAATCTCTATTTAAAAATTATAATAATAAAAAAATAGTTTATTTTATTAAAATTATTCTTGGGAAGCCATATTGTGCCTGCCATCATCTGCAAATGTTCATTCTCCAGACTAGTATATTGTATCAGTTTTTAAACCAATTTTAACAGTTTGAGCAAGCCACACATAGAGCACTTATGCCCTGAAGAAAGGTAGCCAATCATCGCATGTGTGTGTTCCCATGTGACCTCATAATGACGTTGTGTCAGGCATTTTTTAAACGTATGACTGTCTTTGAGAGAGTAAAACAACTCCACAGTTATCAATGTTTATGTGTGTGTAGAAAGCAATGTTCTAAAGATGATACTAAAGATTTTTCATATGCTAAATGTAGAAAGACTTTTTGCTTTTTGTAGATATTGTATTGTGAAGCATATAACTGAGTGTTGGATGAACTTACTGTAATTAGCTTAGATAAAGCTTAGATTCAAAGTCTAATTTGTTGTGTAAATTTCTGAGCTGGCCATTCTCATCTATGAAACTATATAGTACATAGCAGCACAGCTGTGTTCATTGTAATTTGCCTTACCTAAAAATCTGTTTAGAGTTTTGCTGGCATGTATTTACATCGGATATGTAACTTCTTTAATCTTTCTAGGTATATATAACTTGTTGTTTACAATGACATGCAATAAGTGGACTTTGATATGTAAGATTTGCTGTGTATTTTAATTAATGAGGGACCCATAGAACCTGAAGTGCCCCAGGGCCCCAAAGTCTAAATTCGGCCTTTGTGATGTGTCCCCTCTATTGTACTACAGCCTATTGTCTGTGCTTCACTCTTGCATGCCAAGGGAGTAGCACTAAAATTCCCAGGCCCAACCCAGGTCCAGCACTGAAATGCCCAGTCATAATGAACATGGACATAGGACAGTGCTACTGTATGTCTATATCCTTGCTGAGCCACCTGGGATGCTGGACAGCTCCCTGTCTGTTTCCTTAGAAAACCTTGCCTTGTGTTTTGTTTCTCTTGAACCCTTTGGTCCTCCCATGAACTTCCTAAGACATGCCTTTGAGGTTCCTGTTTGCCAGATAATTGTGCTCTATCCAGTCAATATCTTGTTTGCCTGCAGCTGTTCTTATCTGCACCACTACTCGTTACCGACCTTGGCTTGTCCCTTAACTATGCTTCTGCTCAATCCTAACCTGCAGCCATTCATTACCAACCTTTGGCTTGTTCTTCAACTACGCTTCTGCATAATCCCAGCCTGCAACCACTTGTTACCAACCTTTGACTTGTATACTGACTATGCTCTGCTTGATCCTGCTATTTCCGATACTAGACCCCGGCTTATTCACCTCCTGGTGGGGCAATCGTGAGGACTGTGACCTGGCACTAACACATAACAAAACCCATCTCCACCATCAGGAGCTCTGGTGCATACCAGTTACTGCTTAGATCCCAGGTGAGCCTGTGTCATCCACCAAGGTGACCTGCTTGTGTACTTTTACAGCTAGTTGACTGTGACACTGGAGCTTCCTCTTCTCCCTGTATCACTGGAAAGTTTTTAATTATGGAGAGAGCTCTCTAAATGATTGTACTGTGAACCCAGGTGAATGTGGAAATGTACCTCCAAAGGGTGTATCTCCTTCATTTTGAAGCTGTCCCCTACAGTACCTCTGATAGTACAAGTTGATTTCTGGGTTAGGTGACACCGAGTGAAAAAGGGTTAGACTCTTACTCATATATGTATCGCTGTTTGTGTCCTTTCCGGAGGGGACAGAAAGCCAGAAAGAGTCACAAAATTTTGAGCTATCATCAGCGCAATAAGTGAGGTAAAATGTGGAAACATACTCTGTTAAAACTAAGATGAGAGTTCTGTCAACTTTGCAGAGATTTCCTCTAATTTCCTGTTTCATCTCCAGGACAGGAAATGAAGGGAAATTTCCCCAACTGAACACAGACATGAAAACTTAATTGCTAGGGGTTTTAAACCGTCCCTACTCTGTCTTAGAGTAAAAAAATAGTTTGGGCTTTACATACACTTTAACCATTGACCTGTTTGTAAAAAAAAAAAGTAGTAGTTTTGTCTGAAGTTATTTTCAGATTTATCAGATTTATTTTTACATGATATTCCTCTAAACCCTGACGTTTTTTGGAAAGCTAATCGCATTGATCACTGATACACTGCTCAAAAAAAATTAAAGGAACCGTTTTTAATCGGAGTATAGCATCAAGTCAATTAAACTCTTGGGATTCCCTATAATTAAGTCTGAACATGACAAAACATGTCAGGGTGTGACGGTGCGGCGGACCGGAAGTGACGCAGATCCGTAACCGGAAGTGACGTGATGGGTTTCTGTCCGGCAGATCCGTAGATGGTGAGAGCACCAGCGGTATCTGTCTCAATGAAAGGCTAATTTTAAAAAGGCTTAACTAATTTTTTAATGTTGTAAGTGCAATATTATGGTTTATTAAAGTTGTATACCTTGGGTAATACACGATTGGAGCAAATTTTTTCTCTTTCTATGTAACTATGGAGAGGAGTATATATTATAATCCTGGCTACCATTCGTATCATGGGTGATTATTGGTGGAACCTCCCGATCTCAACATTTTGGAATCTATATAACAAGGTGGAATAAAGGCTGTGTTCTGGTCATCCTAGTATCTGTATGTGTGTAGAATCTATATAACAAGGTGGAATAAAGGCTGTGTTCTGGTCATCCTAGTATCTGTATGTGTGTAGAATCTATATAACAAGGCTAATTAAAGGCTTGTTCTGGTGAGTGCACACCTGAGAGGGGATGTATGAGAGGCACAGCACGTAGTTTATTTTTCACTGGGAATAACAGAGGAATCACATTGTGGAAGATTTTTTTGGATTATTTTGGACTTTTTTATTATTTGAATAGACTTTTTATTATTTGAATTTATTTTTTCACTGGACTTATGATTTATGGTGTTAAAATTTAGGCACTATAATTTGATGTTACATATATTTTATGTCATATTTTATGTCACATATAATTTGTTGGTAATTTTTAGACATATACCGTATATTCCGGTGTATAAGGCGACTGGGTATATAAGACAACCCCCTAATTTTCCAGTTAAAACATAGGTTTTGGGCTATACTCATCGTATAAGACTACCCCCCTTCTGAGGCAACACCATCTAACCCCTAGCCTACAGGGCACTTATACCCACTTCCCCCCCAGGCCAATTTTCAGCTTTCAGCACTGTCACACTTTGAATGACAATTGCGCGGTCATGCAACACTGTATCCATATGAAAAAGGTGGCACTGATGGGCACTGATGAGGAGGCACTGGTAGGTGGCACTGATGGGCATTGACAGGCATCACTGATGGGCACTGAAAGGCAGCACTCATATATGGCACTGATATATGGCACTGATAGGCGGCACTGATAGGCAGCACTGACTGGCACTGTTAGGTGGCACTAACTGGCACTGATAGGCGGCACTGACTGGCACTGATAGGCAGCACTGACTGGCACTGATAGGCGGCACTGACTGGCACTGATAGGCGGCACTGATGTGCACTGATAGGCGGCACTGACTGGCACTGATAGGTGGCAATGATTGGCAGCACTGATAGGTGGCACTGATGGGCATTGACAGGCATCACTGATGGGCACTGAAAGGCATCACTGATACATGGCACTAATAGGCGGCACTGGCTGGCACTAATAGGTGGCACTGATTGGCAGCACTGATAGGTGGCACTGATTGGCTTTGATAGGTGGCACTGAATGGCACTGATGAGTGACACTGAAAGGAAGCTCAGATGGGCACTGATATGTGGCATTGATGTGCACTGGTAGGCACTGATATGTGGCATTGATGTGGCACTGATGAACACTGACAGCTGGCACTGCTGGGGCTACACTGATCATCAGGGCACACTGATCATCAGTGCCCTGATGTACAGTGTACATGTCCCCTCCGCAGAAAGCCGATTACCTCCTCTCCTCTGTCAGCGTGACGGCTCGAGAGGAGAGAAATGCCGATAACCGGCATTTCCCTGTTTACATGTGATCAGCTGTGATTGGACACAGCTGATCACATGACCGAGCCGACAACTTCGGCTTTTTTTCCATGATCGGTGATCCGCTGTGTCCGTGGGACACAGCGCATCGCCGTGCATGTGCGGAGAATGGGAGGACGTCATATGAGCCAATCACGGCAAGTGATGTATTATATTAATGAATATAGAGCCTGCTTGGATTGGCTGCGTCAGAGAGACGGGCTGATGATGTCACAACTTCAGCCAATCTGAGCAGGCTCTGTATTCATTAATAGAATACATCGCTCACCGTGATTGGCTCAGCGCGGTACACTGTATGTAGCTGAAGCTACCGTACAGTATTACTGCACATCCAGCGGTTCTATACCCGGTGTATAAGATGACCCCCAATTGTTGGGGTATGTTTTTAAGTAAAAAAAGTTGTCTTATACGCCGGAAAATATGGTATATATAATTTAAATATGTTCACATTGTGGAAATAGTAATGGAGGCAATGAATACACACAGAGATTGTTGATAGGATTTAATGTATTCACATTATTACCATTGAAGGTGATAATATTCATAATAAGTTTTGACATAGCATTTACACTGGCAGCTCATTGGATATAATAATAATATTTAAAAATCATCATTTGGCGCTATTGAGTGAGTATTTGGATACATTATTTGGGTCACTCTATAAATTAAGAAGTGTTTATATACAGTACACCAATCAGCCATAACATTAACATCATAGACAGGTAAACTGAATAACATATTGACTGACTATCTCATTACAATGGCATCTGAAACTGGGTGGGATATATTAGACAGCAAATTAATATGTTGTTCCTGATGTTGATGTGTTGAAAGCACAAAAAATGGGTGTAAGGATTTGAGTGACTTTGACAAGGGTCACATTGTAATGTCTAGACTGATGCTGACCCATGTCCACAATCAAAGGTGCCTACAATGGGCACATGAGCATCAGAACTAGACCATGGAGCAATGAAAGAAGCTGGACTGCTCTGATGATTTACGTTTTTTTTTTTACATCATGTGGATGGTCGGGGTGTGTGTGTGTCGCTTACCTAGGGAAGAGATGGCACCAGGATGCTATGAGAAGAAGACGAGCCAGCAGAGGCAGTGTGATGCTTTGGGCAATGTTCTACTGGGAAGCCTTTGGTTCTGCCATTCTTGTTGATGTTACTTGACACATACCATCTACCTAAACATCTTTACTGACCAAGTACACCCCTTCATGGAAACAGTATTACTTGATGGCAGTGGCCTCTTTCAGCAAGATAATGCAACCTGCCACACTGCAAAAATGGTTCAAGAATGGTTTAACCTCCCTGGCGGTATTCCCGAGTGTAGCTCGGGGTTAATTTTCAGTACCAAAAGCAGTAACTCAGGATTACCCTGCAGCGTTGCTCCGGGATCCCTGTTTCACTTACCTTTTCCTTTGCTCCCGCGATGTCCCCCCTGCAGTATCCCCGGCCATCTCCTCCGGGTGATGCTGGCATCCGTCTTCTGGATTCTGTTCCCTGCGAACGTCGGGATGTACGGGGGATGGAACCGGCGGGAAATTCAAAAATTTTAAAAGTGACATTCACTCAATACACTAAAATCACATAGTATAACATTACTGTATCAAACCATTTCACATACATTTTGTCCCGAGTGCTTTGTCCTGTGCCCTGCCTGCATTTTTACTGTTCTTTCTGCCTGGAAACTGAGAAAAGTCCATGGCGTCCAAAAAGAAGCGTCCCTTTAGATCAAAAGCGGTTTTAGACCAGCTAGAGAACAGCGATAGTAAATTAGAACTACTTGCAGAATTGAGCGATAATGATTTGTGGGGAAATTCTGAAAACACTGAAAATGATTTTGCGACTTTGCTCAGTGATGTGCGAACTTGGCGCTATATTTAAATTTTCAGTGTTTTTGGTTTGATTACATTATTGAATTAACTTTATTATTATTATATTATTATTTTTTATGATTTTTTATTATATTATAATTTATGATTTCGTGTTTCAAATGTTATCATACCCGGGATGTTTACTAGACTCTTGTTCGGACAGATTTCAGTGAGTTATTCCTAAAACTTACAGGCCTACAATAAAAAAACTACATATTTCCATGCAAAGAAATGTACCGTTTGGAGCACAGAAATATGGACATAGGTGTCCGTTTATGACACAGAGAATAGCTGCGATTCAGAGGATCACAGCTATTCTCTGGTCATTCACAGTTTATGACACCCAAGAGAATATGTTCAGCCCTTCTCTGGAGATCTGTGTTCTCCCTCCAGATTCTCCAGCCCAGAGCTGGAGAATCGGAGGGACCGAAAACTAAGCAGAGATAATTTACCTCTGCTTAGTAAACTGATCTTTTACTGTAATCTCGCGAGATTATAGTAAAATCAGCCGTTTTCCAGCGTTTGTAGATCGTTCTCCCTTTGTTTGGAGAACTGATCTACATATGCTTCATAAACGGCATTCACAGGCGATCTATTACTGCTGGTTCATAAACGGACACCTAAATCAGACCGCTAGGGAGGTTAAGGAACACGATAATGAGTTCAAGGTGTTGACTTGGCCTTTAAATTCTCCAGATCTCAATCTAATTGATCACCTGTGGGATGTGCTGAAAAAACAAGTCGAATCCATAGATGCCCCAGCTTGCAACTTACAGGACGTAAAGGATCTGCTACTGACGGCTTGATGCCAGATACCACAGCATACCTTCAGAGGTCTAGTGGCATCCATGCCTCAGAAGGTCAGGGCTGTTTTGGTGGCAAAAGGGTGACCTGCTCAATTTTAGGTGGGTTATCATGATCTTATGGCTGATCGGTGTGTATATACTGTGTGTATATATATATATATATATATATATATATATATATATATACAGCGTATATCAGTCTGCTTATTCTGTCTAGTTTTTAAGACTACATTTTTAGATTAAAATTTAAATCACAGTATGATCTTGATTTGCTTTTTTAATATACTGTGTCTGGTTTTAAATTTTAAAATTTAAATTTAAATTACAGAACAATCTCAGATTCATACATACACTTTTGTATATTTCCTTTTATATATTTGCATCCAGAATTATTTATTTGTTGTCACAATATATTGTTTTTTGCTGACAGTGCAATAGAAAGAAAAATAATTTACAAAGACACAGAATGAAATATGTTTTTCTTTTTACACTTAACATCACTGCTACATCAGTGTCAATTCTCTGTAAGGGTCGTCATTATAGACAAGGTACAATGTTTTGATTACTTTTCATCTCAGGGGACTGTAGTGCATTATAGCAAACACTTTGTAGAATGAGTTTTCTCCCTGCAGTAGTGCTAGGTTCCAATAGCCTTATGATTACAGAAGTCTAGAGAATCCAAAGTCCAGTTGACATGAGCTACAATATAACCTAGAATCTCTAGACTGTGAGCACTAGATTGGACAGAGCTTCCACCTCTCTTATATCTTCTTTTATTGTATGTTTTGCCATGCTATTTTGTGTTCTTTTGTGTATGTACAGTATTTGTATTCATTTTCCTTGGTTTACAGCACATTTTTTGATTCGGCCATGGGAGTTGAAACTGCTATATACATTTTTATTGATATAGTATACAGTTATGCTAATAATATCTGGCTCTGATGTCGGTTGACTGGGGTCTACAAATAATTTGGAGACAAATCTTTGTTATATAACCTCAATTTAAATCCTCAAGGTTTCCAACTGGCAAATCCCCTATATAAGTTTTAAAGGAAATGCACAAAATTATTAATCAAATTAAAAAATTGCCCTCCACAGGATTTACCCCCCTTCCAGGCCATTTTATTTTGCGATACGGCGCTGCGTTACTGTACTGACAATTGCATGGTCATGCAACACTGCACCCAAATTAAATGTATGTCCCTTTTTCCCCACAAATGAAGCTTTCTTTTGGTGGTATTTGAATGCCTCTGCGGTTTGTATTTTTTGCACTATAAACAAAAAAAGACAAAAAAAACCAAACAATATTTTCGATGTTTTGCTATTAACCTCCCTGGCGGTATTTCCCAAGTGTAGCTCAGGGTAAAGTTTCAGTACCACAAGAGGTAACCCCGAGCTACACTCAGGAATACCATGCAGTGTTGCTCCGGGATCTCTTCTGCACTTACCTTGTCCTGCGCTCCCACGATGTTCCCCCTGCAGCGTCCCCGGCCATCTCCTCCGGCCGATGCCGGCATCTGTCTTCTGGGTTCCTTTCCCTGCGATGTCAGGACGTACGGGGGATGGAACTGGCGGGACATTTGAAAGTTGTAAAAGTGACATTCACTAAATTCACTAAAATCACATAGTAAAACATTACTGTATCAAACCATTTCACATACATTTTGTCCCGAGTGCTTTGTCCTGTGCCCTGCCTGCATTTTTTCTGTTCTTTCTGCCTGGAAACTGAGAAACGTCCATGGCGTCCAAAAAGCGTCCCTTTAGGTCAAAAGCAGTTTTAGACCAGCTAGAGAACGGCGATAGTAAATTAGAACAACTTGCAGAATTGAGTGATAATGATTTGTGGGGAAATTCGTCATCAGACACTGAAAACGATTCTGCGACTTTGCTCAGCGATGTGCGAACTTGGCGCTATATTTCAAATTTCAGTGTTTTTGGTTTGATTATATCATTTAATTAATTTTATTATTATTATATTATTATTTTTTGATTATTTATTATATTATAATTTATGAATTCATGTTTCAAATTTTAACATACCCGGGATGTTTACTAGACTTTTGTTCGGACAGATTTCAGTGAGTTATTCCTAAAAATTACAGACCTACAATAAAAAAACGACATATTTCCATGCCAAAAAAATGTACCGCTTTGAGCAAAGAAATATGGACATAATCAGACCTCTAGGGAGGCTACACATGTCCAGTAAAAAAATTTAAAAAATCAAATTTCATCATAAATTTAGGGAAAAATGTATTCTATTACATGTCTTTGCTAAAAAAATCCCGATACGTGTAAATTAATTGGTTTACGTGAAAGTTATAGTGTCTACAAAT